GTGTTTATTGGTTGTATGTCTTTGAAGAAATGTCTTTTCAGATTCTTTGCCTATATTTTAATTGGGTTGTCTTTTTATTGTTGAGTTGTAGGAGTTTATATATTTTAGATACAAATACCTTATCAGGTATGGGACTTTCAAGTATTTTCTCCCATTCTGTGAGTGTCTTTTCACTTTCTTAGTGATATCCTTTGAAGCACAAAAGTTACTAATTTTGATGAATTTCAGTTTATCCTTTCTTTTGTTGCTTGTGTTTTGCTGTCGCATCTAAGAAACTATTGCCTAATTCAAGGTCATGGAGATTTATGTATGTGTTTTCTTTTAAGAGTTTTATAGTTTCAGTTCTTAGTTTTGTTCTTTGATCCATTTTGAGTTAGTTTTTGTATGTGGTGTGAGTAAGGGTCCAACTTCCTTCTTTCCATGTCTCAGCATCATGTCTCAGCACCATTCCATTATCTCAGCAGCATCTTCCCCCCCACTGAATTGTTTTGGTACCCTTTTGAGAATCAGTTAACCATAAATGTGGAGGCTTATTTCTGCACTCTCAATTCTGTTCCTTTGATTATATGTCTATCCTTATGTCAGTGGAACCCTGTCTTATTACTGTTGCTTTGAAGTACATTTTAAAATCAGGAAGTGTGAGCCCTTCAATTGTGGTTCTACTTTTTCAGTATTATTTTAGCTATTCTAGGCTTGTTGAGTTTCCATATCAATTTTAGTATTAGCTTGTCAATTTCTGAAGAGGCCAGGGGATTTATGGTAGGGATTATTGCACTGAATTTATAGATCAATGTGGGGATTATTGCCATTTTAACAGTATTAAATCTTCCAATCCATGAACATGGAATGTTTTCATTTGTTGAGTCTTTAACTTCATTCAACAGTGTTTCTTAGTTTTCAGAGTATAAGTTTTGTACTTCTTTTTAAAATTTATTCCTAAGTCTTTTATTCTTTTTTATGCTGTTATTTCTTAATTTCCTTTTAAGATTGTTCAGTGCTATTGTGTAGAAATCCCACTTTTTTGCTTATTTATCTTGTGTCCTACAACCTTGCCGTACTTACTTAGTTTTAACAGTTTTTTTGGTAGATTCTTTAGGATTTTCTACATATAAGATCTTGTCATCTGCAAAGAGGTAGTTTTACTTCTTCCTTTTCAATCTGGATGACTTTTATTTCTTTCTATTGCCTAATTGCCCTGGCTGAAACCTGCAGTCTATGTTGCATAGAAGTGGCAAGAACAGAAATCTTTTTCTTGAGAGTTCTTAGAGAGAAATCATCAATTGTTCACCATTAAGTATGATGTTAGCTTTGGATTTTTTTTGTAGTTTTTGGCTGAAGAACTTTATCACATTGAAGAAGTTCTCCTTCTATTCCTACTTTGTCAAGTGTTTTATTCATCAAGGGGTATTGGATTTTACCAGATGCTTTTTCTGCATCTATTGAGATGACTATGTGATTTTTGTCATTCATTACATTGATATGTAATTAATTGATTTTCCAATATTATACCAAATTGCATTTCTGTGATAAATCTCACTTGGTCATGGTGTATAATTTTTTTTTCATGTGTTGCTGGCTAGTATTTTGTTGAGGATTTTCATGTCTGTATTCATAAGGTCTATTTGTAGATTTCTTTCTTTTCTTTTTTATTTTTTTTTTGTGATGTCTTTGTCTGGTTTTGGTTATCAGGGTAATACTGGTCTCATAGAGTGAGTTGTGAAGTGTTCCCAACTCTTCTGTTTATTGGAAGAGTTTGTGAAAAATTGGTATTTTAATGTTTGGTAGAATTCATCAGTGAAGCACTCTGGGCCTGGGCTTTTCTTTGTGGGTGGTTTTTTGATTACTGACTCAATTTCTTTATTTTTTAGAGATCTATTGATATTTTCTATATCTTCTTGAGTCAGTTTTAGTAATTTGTGTCCTTCTGGGAATTTGCCCATTTCATCTTAAATTGTCCAGTTTATTTGCACAGAATCATTTGTAGCATTCCCTTAGAATCCTTTTTATTTCTGTAATATTTGGTAATGTCTAGAGGGGGTGACTTTGGGCTTATTTTTAAGAGTGTGGGTATTGGGCTTGTAGTGACTTGGGAAAAGGAAGAACAATTCAGGAAGAGAAGAGAGCATGGACAGTGATAGAGAAGCAAGCAAAAACATGACATTGGGCATCTGCATGTAGTTCTCTCTGGTTATAACGAGTCTAGGGGCATTAAGAATACTGGCAAGAAGTGAAACCAGAAAGATAGGCAGACAGCGGGTGAGGGCATCTCTTGGGCTATGCTGGTTACTTGTGCTTTATTGTCTAGGCAGTGAAGAATCATTTGTTTTGAGCAGGTGAGTGACATGATCAAATTTACCTATTGGAAAGATAATTGGCAATGGAATGATCATGGATTAAAGAAGAGGAGAGGGTTAGAAGTAGGGAAGCCTGTTTGTTTCTTGCAGGCTTCATCAAAGACTGCAGAAAGTAACCAGCTTCCTCTATCAATCTGACATTTTTCTACCAAGTCTGCTAAAGCTCAATAGGTCTACACATTGTTTGATTTCTATAATAAAATTTCTATACTAAAATTGGTTAAAATAGCGTAACTAGCTAATAACTGTGTATACAAGAATTGCTAATTTCTCTATTTTTAAGAATTTTATTTTATTTCTAAAGATTTTATTTATTTGAGGGGTGCCTGGGTGGCTCGGTCAGTTAAGTGGCTGCCTTCGGCTCAGGTCATGATCCCAGGGTCCTGGGATCGAGCCCCACGTTGGGCTCCCTGCTTAGCTGGGAGCCTGCTTCTCCCTCTTCCTTTGCCCCTCCCCCTGCTTGTGAACTCTCTCTCTCTCTCTCGTTTTCTGTCAGATAAAGAAATAAAATCTTTAAAAAAAAAAAAAGATTTTATTTATTTGAGAGAGACAAGCAGGGGGGAGGGGCAGAGGGAGAGGGAGAAGCAGACTCCTCACTGAGCAGGGAGTCCAATGTGGGACTCAGATCCCAGGACTCTGGGATCATGACCTGAGCCGAACGCAGACACTTAAACCAACTGAGCCACCCAGGCGCCCTCTTTTTTTAAGAATTTTAATCATTCTTAGGGGCACCTGGGTGGCTCAGTTGGTTAAGTGACTGCCTTCGGCTTAGGTCGTGATCCTGGAGTCCCAGGATCGAGTCCCGCATCGGGCTCCCTGCTCGGCAGGGAGTCTGCTTCTCCCTCTGACCCTCCTCCCTCTCATGCTCTCTGTCTCTCATTCTCTCTCTCGCAAATAAATAAAAAATTTAAAAAAAAAAAAAAAGAATTTTAATCATTCTTTTTTCCTTTCAAGACATTTAGAATACTGAATATGTATTTTAAGGCATTTCTGTCTTTCTGTTTTTGTTTTTTGTTTTAAGTAAACTCTGTGCCCAATGTGAGGCTCAAACTCACAATCCCAAGATCAAGATTTTGCATGCTCTATGACTGAGCCAGCCAGGTGCCCCAAGAATTGCTAATTTCTTAACCATTTTTCATATCAATAAACCATTTGCAACACTTTCACTTCTTAAAAACTCTTCTACTTCTTTAAAACACTTCTACTTCCTTAAAGAGAATCTCCCTGAAACCAGCATCCTGCTTAAACCTTGAAACCAGTCACTGTGGACGAGGAAACTGGAGTACCAGTATTGGATAGGACACATGCCCATCCCTATTGTCAGGTGAAGTAGTGTGATTGGCAGTCCTGCCTGAATCCTGGAGAAAGGGGCAGTTGAGATATGTAAATCTGACCTAAGAATGTAGTTCAGGTGGACATTTATTAGGTATTTTCTATCCTTAGCCTCTCATAAGTTAAATTTATAATGAAATAAAATAGCTATTTCTTTCCTATGTCTTTTCTCTCTATTTGGGTAGAAGAACAGGGTTGTTATCCTGTAATAGAAGATAATATTACTATTATTCACATTATTTTACTTACTAGATAATTTGGGAAACAAGTTCATGATTTCTCCTTACATTTGGATGGTGAAAGTAAGTTGCCAAAACATTTTCAAAAAGATAATTTCACATTTTACAATATTTGAGAATGTTGGAGTAGAAAGAGACTGGCAGTTTACTAGTTCAGCCACATCATTTTATAGATGTATTATGTTTTTAAAATGTGTCTATGTTTTTTTTTTCATTCTGTATTTCTTCTTACATATGTATATATATATTTTTAAGATTTTCATTTATTTATTTTAGAGAGAGAGGGAGCAAGCGGGGGAAGGGAGAGGGACAAGCAGACTCCATGCTGAGTGCAGAGCCTGATGTGGGGCTCAGTCTCATTTGGGGCTCAATCTCATGACCCTGAGATCATGACCTGAGCTGAAATCAAGAGTCAGATGCTTAACCAACTGAGCCACCCAGGCGCCCCTCTTCCTTTTTATATTTAGTTGAATCTAACTCAGTCCTGATGTTTTCCATTTCTCAATTTTAAAAGGAATAGTGGGAGTTATAGATGAATTCTAAGCATTAAGTTGCTTTTTAGTGGATTTTTTCCCTGTAGGTTACTTGCTTTCAAGTAATTAAAAAATATGCACTTGACTCTTCAAAAATTAAAGATTGTTTTAGGGTTCTGACATATATTTTCTCTCCATTAGAGTTCCCATCTTCCTAGCAAGAAGAAAATAAAGAGACAGTTCTTTATAAGCCAAATGATTCTCCCTGTTCCATCCAGGTTCCTGAGCCTCGTGTCTGAACCACCTATGCATGATCCCATGTTCTCTGTCTGGTTCTTCCTTATATCTGTTTACTCAACATCATTTATATTTTTCCATCTGCTCCCTGAAGACAAGGAGCTTAAAAGTGTCCGAGTGAGTTCTGTGTTAAAACACAACCTTATCAGTGTACAATGTTTTGTACTTTCATTTAATGAAAAGTGTCTTCTTTTTGTATTCATATAAAAGTGTACCCTACTGGCTTGTTTTAAAGTCATTTGAAGATCTTATTCTTACTAACACAGGGACATGGTAACATTTGCATTTTTAATTCCTTTTACCAGAATGGGAGACCATGACTGAGAATGAGGAGGTGACACCAAAGCCAAGCATTTCTCAAAGAGCCGATTCTCAAAAAGGAACATCCAAAAGACTTCAGGGAGGTGTTCCTCAGATCCTAGATTTTGAGGAAGCATGTGAATGGCAAGTTTTGGCAAGTCATTGGGGAACTAAAACAGGGGAAAGAGATACCCTAAAGAAAGTTTCCGTCTGTGAAAGAGATAAGAAGAAAAGGACTCTACCAGAAAAACAAGGCCAAAAGTGGAAGGAATTTGGAGAAAGCTTGACTTCAGGTTCAGCTCTTTCTGAAAGTTTAATAGGTACTGAAGGAAAGAAGTTTTATAAATGTGATATATGTTATAAACATTTCAATAAAATCTCCCATCTTATAAACCATCGGAGAATCCACACTGGTGAGAAACCTCATAAATGTAAGGAGTGTGGAAAAGGCTTTATTCAGCGCTCAAGCCTTCTAATGCATTTACGGAACCATTCTGGGGAGAAACCTTATAAATGTAATGAATGTGGGAAAGCCTTCTCTCAAAGTGCTTACCTTCTAAACCATCAGAGAATCCACACTGGGGAGAAGCCTTATAAATGTAAGGAGTGTGGAAAGGGCTTCTATAGGCATTCAGGCCTTATTATACATCTAAGGCGCCATTCTGGGGAGAGACCTTATAAATGTAATGAATGTGGGAAAGTTTTCTCTCAGAATGCTTACCTCATTGACCATCAGAGGCTCCACAAAGGGGAAGAACCTTATAAATGTAACAAGTGTCAGAAAGCTTTCATTCTGAAGAAGAGCCTCATTCTGCACCAGAGAATCCACTCTGGGGAAAAGCCCTATAAATGTGATGAATGTGGAAAAACCTTTGCTCAGACCACTTACCTTGTTGACCATCAGCGGCTCCACAGTACAGAGAACCCATATAAATGTAAAGAATGTGGAAAAGTTTTCATTCGAAGCAAAAGCCTCCTCTTACACCAGAGAGTACACACAGAAAAGAAGACTTTTGGTTGCAAAAAATGTGGGAAGATTTTCAATTCAAAGTCAAACCTCATTGACCATAAGAGGATGCATAGCAGAGAGAAGCCATATAAATGTACTGAATGTGGGAAAGCCTTCACTCAGAGTGCTTACCTTTTTGACCACCAGAGACTCCACAATGGAGAGAAACCTTACGAATGTAATGAGTGTGGGAAAGTTTTCATTCTAAAGAAGAGCCTCATTTTACATCAGAGGTTCCATACTGGAGAGAATCTCTATGAATGTAAAGACTGTGGCAAGGTCTTTGGTTCTAACAGAAACCTCATTGACCATGAAAGACTACACAATGGGGAGAAGCCCTATGAATGTCGAGAGTGTGGGAAGACTTTCATCATGAGCAAAAGTTTCATGGTCCATCAGAAACTACATACACAGGAGAAATCCTACAAATGTGAGGATTGTGGGAAGGCTTTTAGTTATAATTCAAGCCTGCTCGTACATCGGAGAATCCACACTGGAGAAAAGCCCTTTGAATGCAGTGAGTGTGGAAGGGCTTTCAGTTCTAACAGAAACCTCATTGAACATAAGAGAATCCACAGTGGTGAGAAACCCTATGAGTGTAATGAGTGTGGTAAATGCTTCATTTTGAAGAAAAGCCTCATTGGACATCAGCGAATTCACACAAGGGAAAAATCTTATAAATGCAGTGACTGTGGGAAAGTCTTCAGTTACCGCTCAAACCTTATAGCCCATCAGAGAATCCATACTGGTGAGAAGCCCTATGCATGTAATGAGTGTGGGAAAGGCTTTACTTACAACAGAAACCTCATTGAACATCAAAGAATTCACAGTGGGGAAAAAACCTATGAATGTCATATATGTAGAAAAGTTCTTACCTCTAGTAGAAATCTTATGGTACATCAAAGAATCCACACTGGAGAGAAGCCTTATAAATGTAATGAGTGTGGAAAAGACTTCAGTCAGAATAAAAACCTTGTTGTACATCAGAGGATGCACACTGGGGAAAAACCATATGAGTGTGAGAAGTGTAGAAAATCTTTTACTTCTAAGAGGAATTTAGTTGGCCACCAGAGAATCCATACAGGGGAGAAACCGTATGGGTGTAATGATTGTAGTAAAGTTTTTAGGCAGAGAAAAAACCTTACTGTACATCAGAAAATTCATACAGATGGAAAACTTTGTGAATGTGATGAGTCTGAAAAAGAATTCTCTCAAACTTCAAACCTTCATCTTCAACAAGAAATCCATACTGTGGAAGAATTCTCTTGGCTCCAAAATGCCAATGAGTCCAAGACAGAGATTCAGAAAATCTAGTGTCATTTGTAAAAGGGGATAAAATCCCTGCCTACCTAAGTAACTATTAGACAAATGGCAGTGTATGGTCCTTGCAAGGAAAAAAATTCATGATTGACCCTTTTGTAGACAAATGATTTGCATGTGAAAGAAAGTTAATCTAGACTTTCAAGACTACATAAACCAAATTCTAGTTAAAGAATATTATGTCCCAGATCATTTGTTATGACTCTGGAAAGGAGCCTTAGAGCACTTGAAGGCTCTGAAGAACCTTACAACATGTAATGATGTAGTTGTAAATGATAGCAAAAATATCTTTGTATTAAGAAATGGACATTGTTCCTGGAAATGTGTATATTGTACATTTTAAAAATAGCATCACTGCTACAAAAAGTCTCTATTGACCATATGATTGAGACATGTCAGACATGGAGTTGAGTGGGCAAGAGTCTGCTGTTTGAGGACAACTTAAGAAGAGTACTAGATTTGGAATTAGAAGACCGAGGTTTGGGTCCTGGCTCTTCCTCTTACTAGCTATGTGATGTTGTTAAGTCAGCCTCTAGGCCTCAGTTTCTCTGTCAGTCAAGTGTTGACATAATGCTTTCTTAAAAGGGTTTGAGGATTAAGTGAAAGGATGGTTGTGAACATACTTTGTGAAATAATTTAGTTGTCAATAAAGTTGGGTAAAAGAGGTATGGTCAAAATCTAGAACATGGCATAATGTAATGTTTGTTTATTACGTCAATATTAGGACTCTGGGAACTTCAAAAATACTCATTTTTTAAGAGGAAGTATGATGGATAGCTTACTTTGGATTTAATAGTCTAGAAGACTTTTTAAAAAGATAGCTTTCAGAATTTGATGGGATTAATAGATAATATGCCTAGTTTGTTTTGGTGGTAAAATACTGGCTTATTATGGAAAAGCAATATTATGTCCAGTTGTTAACACTGAGGCCAAGGAAAACTGTTTTTCAACCTTCAGATTTGAAACCTGGCAGATGTAGAATGTCAAAATGGAAGGACAGTCCTGTGTTGCTTTCCTTGTTCATAGGGAAAAATCCTTAACTCCAACCCCTGAGCTAATGATCGCTGCCACTTTATTCTCAGTTCTAATCAACATTTCACCATTGCTGACATATGAAAGCTTGTTACTCAAGAAGCAACATTCTGTTCCAGTACTCAACTTACTAATAAGTTTCACAAGAACCAAGTCCTTAAAGCTCTGATTAAATCGATTCAGAATCCACCCCTGAGTGGTCAGGCCCATTACTGCCTGTGAACCAATCATTCATTCAGTCTGTTCTCTTTTGTACATTTGTAGATTTAATTCATCCTATATTCTTGAGTTGCTATTTTTATATTGTAATTCTCAAGACTCCCAGTTCTGCAGCTGGACTATAAATACCTTAATATCCAGATTGTGTTTCTAATAATAGCATTGAACTGATGTGTTGATAAATGTTACTAATTCAACCTCAGAGTTCCTTGAGGTCTGGTTCCTCATTAGACTGAAAGGTAAACAAGAGTGAAAAATGGAAGGGCCCAAGATTCAAAGTCTTAAGACCTGGGTATAAGTCCGCTTCTGCCACTTTCCTTGGACAGATGCTTTTATTACTTGGAGCCTTGATTTCCTCATCTGTGTAACAGGAGAGAGAATATCTACCTCACAAAGTTGTTATGAGGTAATGAATATGGAGATGCTTTGTATCTGTGCTATAGAAGAATCACTACAGATTATGTAATTACAAAGGGGAAGATGTACTTTAACAGAGAAGCTGGCATTCACCTCTTAACCATCACTAAGACCAAGACAACCTACATTATCTGCCTCCTCATGTGATGCAATAAGCCAGAAGTGTAACCTGAATTTATCAAGCTTCTTAGACCTAATCGCCAGTTTACAGGAAATACAGGAAGCAGACGAACAAGATAAATGACACAACAAGAAACAAATTTAGAACAGGGACTATTGTATAAGAAAACTGCACTGGATTCTTCAAAAATATGATGAAAAAGGAAGAGGGTGATAATTGTTGAAGCTGGATGAATATTGGGTGTTCATTGTACTGATCTCTGCTTTTGTATATGTGTTAAATTTTCCAGAATGAAAGGTATAAAAAGTGGGTGAGGGAGGTTTTTAAAAGATACTGAAGAACCATAAGACACTAAGAGCCAGAGATAGACTCACACAAATGCCCAATTGATTTTTGGCAAAGGTTGAACAATTCGGTAAAAGGGATAGCGTGTTCAACAAATGCTGCTGGTGGAATTTGATATCCATAGGCAAATATCCATCCATCCATCCGTCCATCCATCCATAGTCAGGAGCTAGGACTAAGCAAAGAACTCTTAGATTTACATCAAAAGCAGGCTCCATAAAAGGAAAAATGATAAATTGGACCTCATCACAATTAAAATAATTTGCTCTGCTAAAAAAACAAAAACAAACACTTTTTAAGAGTTATAAGACATTACAGACTTGGGGAAAATATTTGTAAATCATATATTCAACAGGATTTGTATCTATACTACATAAAGAAATCTCAAAACTCAACAATAATAGATTCATTCAATTAGAAAATGGGCAAAAGACATGTAAAGACATTTCACCAAAATATAGAGAGCAAATAAATGAAAAGATATTCACCATCAAATACAAGTTAAAAAAAAAATGACTGCACACGTGTCAGAATAGCTTAAAAAAAGAAAAACAGTGTTATTAAATCTTGGCAAGGATGCAGAGAAACTGGGTCTTGTCTGTTGCTGGGAATGTTAAATGATACAACCACTCTGGAAAATAGTTTGGCAGTTTCTTAAAAAACCAAACAGGCGCTTACGATATGACCTGGTATTTGTACTCCTGAACGTTTACCCCCAGAGAAATGAAAACTTAATTCAGACAAACATATGTACATGACTGTTCATAGCAGTTTTATTTGTAATAGTCAAAATCTGTAAGTAACCCAAAATAGCTTCAACAAGTGGCCAAAACAGTATTCTATTTATACCATGAATACTTACTACTCTGCAATAAAATGGAATGACCCATTCCTGCAATGACAAGTGAATTTCAAGAAAATTACGCTGAGTGAAAATCCAATCTCAAAAGGTGGTATTCTGTATGATTCTACTTATATAATATTCTAAAATGACAAAACTATATAGAGATGAAAGACAGATTAGTGGTTGCCAGAGGTTAGGGATGGTGGGAGGGGGCAGGAGGGAGAGAGAGGGGTAGCACTTAGGAAGGTCTTTGTGATGTTGGAACAGTTATGTATCTTGATTGTGGTAGTGGTTACACAAATACATGTGATAAAATGAGGTAGAAGTCTACACAAACATTGTACCAGTTCAACTTCCTGATTTTTATATTAAATGATAATTATGTAAATTGTACCTGTTGAGGGAAACTGGGGGAAGGGTATTTTTCCAACTTCCTGTGAATTGTTAAATTCAAAGTAAAAGGTAAAACAAGACCCTAAAAAAGCCATAACCAAATGCAGTGTGAAACCGATTTGAAAACAAATGATGAAAATACATATTTTAGGGTAGTTGGGGAGATTTGAATATGACTGGATATTAGATGATATTAGGAAATTGTTAGTTTTCTTACCATTATGTAATGGTATTATAACGTTTGGAGAATATTATTATTAAAGGATGCATTTTGAAGAGTTTGGAATGAAGTGGTTTGATGTTTACAACTTTCAAAAAAATATTTTTCAGTATATAGAGAGAGATAAGGAAAACGTAGTCAAGTGTTGAGTCCAGATGCAGGATACAGGTATTCATGGTACCATTCTTTCACCTTTTCTGTACCGTTTGTATTTTCAAAATAAAACGTTTGAGGCAAAATTGTCAGGGCTTTCTACAGACAAATGCTTTGTGGCTTCAGGCTCCTGCGTATGCGCCTCGCGTAACTACTGCCAAGTCAGGGGATGTACCCTTCCCTGAAGCTCAGGGCCAGAGTACACCTGCACCCTCCTAAACACTTTTGTTCCCATCCCTGGTCCGCAGCGATATTGGACACCCATCGAGAAGACAGCACCTCCGAGGTTCCCAGAGAGGCCGGCCTGGAGACTTGGGAAGCCGGAAGTCCGTCTCGAGGCACTTCCTGTCCGCTCATTGTTCTCGCGCCGACAGGCGCAGGACGTCGGATTCTGCCGGCCTTTCGGTATAGAGCCCGCGACCTCCGGCCGGCGTCTTCTATGAACACGGTCAGTGGAGTTGGCGGTGGTGGGCACGGACGTTGCGGGCGCGGGAGGGGCCATTCCAGGGGCGGACTGCCGCGACCTCCCCTCGGAGGTCCAGGCTTGTCTGTCCCTAGGGCGGCTCCGCGTCCCACCACTTCAGAAACACGGCTGCCGCCTACCGGGGGTCTGGCCTGGGGGACCTTGGAGACGGACAACACCAGGGGCCAGGCTCACCCCGGAAACAGGGCTGTTTGAGGTATGAAGGGGGAGGAGGTGGGTTGCCACATTTGGAAATAGGTAAAGGACACTGAAAGGGAAGCCCCTGATAGGGAACTCGGTGCTGTCTGGGGTGGAGGCGATGTGAGTTTTGTCAGCAGTACGGTAAGAAGGCTCGAAGTGTAGGCAGTCTTGCCTATACACAGGTGAGACGAGTGTTAAGGGCCTTCGTACATGGTAGAATTCAGCTAATCATGGAAAGAATAATCCTCCAGGATTGAGAATTGTTGCAGGAGTGAAAGTGCTATTGTTATTTAAGAAATTCAGTGTGTACGGTAAATTCACAGTAAGTTGACATAGGAGAAAGCATGTGATTACTTCAATAATAGCAAAAGGGGACTTAATAAAATTTAGCACTCTTTCCCCCAATAAAACATCTGAAGGGGAATAGAAAAATCTTAATTTCTTCATAATAAACTAAACTAGTAAGATCGTTTTACTCACAAATTAAACAACAAAAACGACAACAGAGATAAACTAGTAAGATCGTTTTACTCACAGATTAAACAACAAAGATCCGCTGGCTTGGCTATGATAAAAAGGGTGTTGTTAAGTTGGTGGTGGTGTGATTTGGTGTGATCCTTTTAGAAAGCAATTTGGCACTGTATCTCAACCATGAAATCCTTAAACCAGTAATCCCTCTATTCTGAAGGAATAATTCAGCAGAAGAAAAAACTATTTGCACGGAAAAAATTTTAACATTGTTAAGAATATAAACTGGAAACAAAACTTTTACTAAAGCAACGGCTCATAGATAGGGTTGGTTAAGTTATAATATAGTTACAATTTAGAATACTATGCCAGAATGAGGTAGCTCTGTATGTACTTATGTTGAAAGATTTATCTAAGACTATGGAATAGTGTGAGAAATATAGAAATTGAGTTTAAATGCTGAAAAATGCACGAGTGTAATCTAATCTATTTTGGGAAAATAAGCAATATATGTAAAGGTGTACATTATCTGTATGGAAATGCAGAGAAAACACTGATGACTGATAATTACTGTGTGTGTGTGTGTGTAGGACATATATTTACTTATACATATTTCTGTGTTGATCCTTTTTGGATGAGAATGACAGATTAGGAGAATTAATACTATAGGTTTTTGTATGTATAGCTACTAAAAATGATAAGCATGAAGAATGGCAACATAAAACATCTTTTTTTTTATCTTAAGACGAATACAAGGCATTTGGAAGAAATGGAAAAAATAAACAAACAAAAAGAAGCTCAAAACTACCTGTAAATAAATACATCACCTAGAGATGACCACCCCTAGATGGTGTCTAGACTCTCAGTCTTTTTCTTGAGATTCTTTACTTTATGCTATTGTGTATCTGGCGATAAAAAAAACCTCTTTGTGTTGTAATATTCCTTCTTAAAAAAAAAATGGTGATAATTGTAAAAATATATATCCCCATAGTTAAAAAACAAAAAGTTTAATAAGTCATAATTGTCAGTGTGGTTGAAGGTTTTCCCTTAAAAGAAATATCTTAGATTCGGTGCTATAGCTCTTTGGAGGTGGAGTAGGGCTGATATTTCTTAGTCATTTTCTGTATTTTTCAAGTTTTACAATAAAAATACATTAACTCTATAATCAGAAAAAAAATAAACACTATATGAAGCTGTTTGTAATGTGATTATTATGGGAATAAATTACATGTTTGCAGTTGAACCCTCTCCATCCTATGAGGGAGGAGTAGAGCAGACTCTTGCTATAGTGGCTGCTGCCTAGGCATTGGTGAAATTGGCCAGTGGGCTTAATGGCATCCAGGCAAACCTCTGCTTGATGCTAACAATGTTTTCTGGTTTTTCAGTAGACAGTCTTGGCCCTGGGAAGAAACTCAAGAAGAAGCTTTTGAAACTTAAAGATTAGATGGGGCTTGACCTCTGCTGGGCAACTCCCAGCTGTAAGAGTTCCTGTCCTGAGCAAAGAAGATGACTGCACAACTGAGAGAGGCCATGGCCTTAGCCCCCTGGGGCTCAGTGACAGTGAAAAAGGAGGAGGA